TATCCACCAGAGTTCAAATAAAGTGAATGTATAAGCAATTACAGGCAACCGTACGGCCTTCAACAATGAGAAAAACCTTTACTCACAGTTACTGAAAGTTAGTTCAAAGCCAATTACAACTAATAAATAAATCATGTTCTTCTAGACTAAAGTATCAATCAGTACACATCCTACGGATTTTGTACAATATGGTCAACTTAACCTTCTCAATATGCTGCAGTTGCATATCTAGCTACGCGTATCCATTTTATGTGTCATTTTTTTTCAATGTTATAAACGCTGTTCTTTTTCTCTTGCGGATATAAGTTAAATTATATAATTGCACTCTTTTTTATGGAAATCAGAAGAAGATAGAAAAACTACTCAAAATCGGTTTAAGAATTATTAGTCAGTTAAGCAAAAACTTTGTAATAGTTTTGTAAAATTTTGGAACACAAAAAGAAGAGATACAAAGAGTAGTAAATTAGATACTTATTTCAAACTTAAAACTTGTTTTTCGAAAGAAATGTATCTATCTTTAAACAATTTTCAATTGAGAAGTGCCATATGTAAAATCAGAATCAGTGCACATGATCTCAAAATAGAAAGAGACAGGTATAAAACTTTATATATAGAAAGAGACCAAAGGCTTTGTAAGAAATGTACTCTAAATCTGGTTGAAGATGAACAACATTTTATTACTAGTTGTCCAGCATACAATAATGATAGGGAGATATTTTTCAAGGAGATAAACTGTATCTGTCCCAATTTTATATATCTTTCAAATGAGGCAAAATTTGTTTGGTTATTTACTAATGAAAATTTGTCTATACTTAAATATTTAGGGAGCTATATTATTACATGTCTAGATGTTAGACGAAATGTTAATTAATATATGTAATAACAATGATAATTGTAATGATTTTATAGTTCTGATCCTGCCTGGAATTAAATGTATGTGATTTTTATAGAATGAAGATAATAACATCTGTCTGAACTTTTTAATGTGTCATTTTAATATATAAAAATGTTTTTCTGTTACAAATCATGATGTACTGTTTTATGTGTACATGTTATGCTGCCCATCAAGGGCCCTTGATTGGAATAATAAATATTCTTACTCTTATTCTTATTCTTCTTATTCTTATTAATAAATTGATAGGAGAGAGATGTTTTCTTTCAAGAGTGTCTTTTGTTCATGTTTGCTTGGCAGCTAACCATCATATTCATTTCTGTACACATATAGCAAAATTGTTTGGTTTACTTTCGACACTGCTTTAGTTTTATCATATGTTGTACTGTCTTATAACATCCGAAACGTATTGGTATAATATAACTAGTGTACCAAATCCGGAATTCTGCAAATGAAGTTTATTGAAATAAACACAAAAATTAACTAAAGTAACTCGTCTCCAACGTCAAATGTAGGCCATGATGACCGAAATGTAAAAGAAAATTGGTGTTTTCCCTTAGAGGAATGTATTAGTAAAATATTACTGATACCCACTTTTGGTTCCTAAAATATGTACCTACTTTTGGTTCCTAAAATATGTACCTAAGCGCATTTACCAAACAAGACAGACTGACAAGGGTGATAATGATTATATTTGCCCCATCTACTTCAGCGGGTAAGAAATTCAAAAACACGCATACATACTATAATAAACTTTTTATACAATATGTAAAACATGGTTTAAACGATGACGATCTAGCTGTCTGGGCACGTTTCATCTGATAGTTATTCTCCATAACGATGTAACCTCGTTCCCTTGTCTGCGTTGATAAGGATCCTTGTTTATACATGCTAATACATTTAGCGTCTTCTCTGTTCACCTTCAAGTTGTAAAATATTTCAACATTTTTTCAATTACAGATGTATTCTTGGTTACTCCTGGTTTTTCGTCCAGTCGCTTTTCAGCTAAATAACTTTTCACGCACTGCCACTCTGATCTATTTCTTTCATTTACGGAACAACATGTGAAAAATTAAATTAAATCTGAAATGAACTGCAAGTCCCGTAATAATGAAGAAAAAAAAAACTCAGAAAATAATAAAATAAGCTGTTGACACAAAGATATGTCTCGACTGTCGGCAGAAAGTTCAGAAAATGACAATCTGTAGGACAGCAACATTGCTAATTAATTCATTGTAGTCAGATACGGATCCAGGATTTTGAAAAAAGAGGACTCGGGCCTCCAAACTAGGCAACGTTTGTAGTGGGACATGTAAAAAGTCTATACATTAACCATATATGTAGCCCCATAAGGGGGACCAGGTCATTTGCCCCTCCCTTAAACCTGGGAAAATATCATTGATGTATTACACGTTGTTCTTTTCAAACTGACTTAAGCAGAAAACTTAACATTAAAAATTGCTAATTAATTCCAAGTCACTAGACCATGATCTAGGGGGTCGTGGCCCCGAAAAAGTCGACAAACTGAAATGTACTGAAAGTAATGCAACTTAAAAGAAAATATCATTGATGTTTTACACGTAGTTCTTTTCAAACTGACTTAAGCAGAAAACTTAACATTAAAAATTGCTAATTAATTCCAAGTCACTGGACCATGATCTAGGGGGTCGTGGCCCCGAAAAAGTCGTCAAACTGAAATGTACTGATAGTAAACCATCATTATAGAAAATATCATTGATCTATCACAAGTAGTTCCTATCAAACTAAGGTAAGCAGAAAATTTAACAATTCTTGAAGCCGAAAATGACAACGCCGCAGTCGCCAGAAAAGAACTACTTATGTCTGGTGCTCCGCGACTTTTGTCGCTGGCGAGACAAAAATCGAAAAGGAAATTTTTTTTTATTTCGGGGGGGGGGGGGGGGGGGTCGGCACTTACTATGAGAGTCACTGGAATAAGTCACCTTTTTAAGCTTCATGACAAATGATAGAGTCGAGAAATTTAGATGAAATATATGACACGTTCGCTACTTAAATCTTAAGTATCTGATACTAATCAGATGTCGGACCATTAAATAAAAAATAAATGTTGTGAGTAAAAATGCACCATTAAAAGATCATAACAGGAAAAAGTGACACAAATCCAACAAAACTAACAAAAAATATCTAGATAAAACCGATGCACTACGTTTGCGCGCATTATCATTACATTTGCGCGCATTATCATTACATTTGCGCGCATTATCATTACATTTGCGCGCATTTATTACACAGGTAAACATATTATGCACAAGCACTAACTCCTAGAAATACATACAAATAAAAATGATTAACAAAGCAATCTATTGTCTTTGGTAATGTTAGATATTCCTTACGCCTTTCACGATATATGGCCCTTGTCAAACGAAATGTAATCCCAATGACAACCGTCTTCAACAACGGACAAGTGAAAAGGAAGATTTAAAAAGGAGATCAGTATGACTGCAGTTGTTTTTTTAAAATGGTTAAAATGTTTTCTGGGTATTCAAGTTTTAAAAACATCTGTTGGAATTTTTTTAATCGTTATAAGAATGCTTTGACAATAAAAGCATTATTCAAACATTTTGCTAAAAGTTTTTTCTCTTTTACATTTTCACAGTTTTTTAACTTATAGAAATGTTGGTTTTTTTTATGTTTTAAAAATGTTTTAATGATATTTTTTAAACAAGCATATTTGAAAATTCATTCAAAACATTATAAAACATTTTACAAACACAAAATTCAGTAACATTTTAATAACGTTTTAAAGATATCATGGAAATGTTATGGAGAATGTTTTTCTGCATTTTTTAACAACATTTTCAAAACGTTTTAAAAACATTAACAAAATATTTTTTGGTGAATTGGGTTGTGACTTGGAACTCCGCACATTGCAGATGTTTTCAACTCCAATCTTAATGGACTAGGATTGTCAGTTTTCCTGCAGGTCAGTCTCTTCGGCACCCTCCACCAATAAAAAACTGACTGCCACAATATAGCCAATAGAGCAGCACAGCTCAAACGTGGCGTTATACATCGTGATACAATCATTCAATTAATCTCTATGGTTTCTGCAAAAATGAACAAAAGGGGTCAATTGACTAATTTGGCCATGTTGATTTACATCTTTGCATTCTTGTTTCTATCCATTTAATACGGTTTCTGCAAAAAATGCATAAAATGTGTAAAAACCATCTTTCAACTGTAATAACTCCTACATGTATAAAGGATCAATTTCGGCTTTGTTGTCTTATTTGTAGATCCTATTTGCTGAACATTTTTGTTATTTACAGTTTTGCTTTATCTATAATTGTTTCTGCAAAAACGAGAGAGAAAAAATCTTCTTTAAAGGAACACAACTTCTATTAAGGATCAAGTGACTATTTCGGCCACATTGATTTACTTGTAGATCCTATTTTGCTTCTTACAGTTTCTCTCTATCATAGTTTCTGCCATCTTCGCTAGCCAAGGGTTACGATCCACTGCCCTCCTCTCCATGTGGAGAGGAGGGCAGTGGATCGTAACCCTTTGCTAGAAGATGAGTTTCTGCAAAAAAGGGTTAAAATCAACTTCAGGGGCAATAACTCTTATAAAAGGTCACTCAGTGATTTTATTCGTTTACCGTTATATGTCTCTGGTATCATAGGTATATGGTTACCGAGATGGTTACCGTGACTGTTATTGGCGAGGGACTCTGATTGCCGGGGCCGGGTCCCTAAATTTACCCAAATATACTTCAAAACACGCTAGAAAATACCAAAAAATAGTTAAAATTAATGTCACATCTATCATGTCTATTATAATAATCTGGTTCATAAATTGCCGACAATTCTCATTAGATTGATTACGGATTATTGACTTTATAGATACAGAGACATATAATACAATTATTGTACATGTATTATACGACTTATGTCTCGGATAGATGTTATTAAACTTATTATGTGTTTCATTTCATCTGTATTAGTTTAATCAGTATAGAGGACTTATTATGTTGTTTAGTCATACTAGGTTTTCCAGGGCTGGATGAACAACAGAACATAACAAGCATAATCACATTGGTTTACTTCCCCTTCACTTGTAATCCCTGCCGAAAATTGCGATTATTTTGTTGTTGGTCCTCATGAGGATTGTTATTGCAGGAATGGCATCAAGTTATTCTCGTTCTCGTTCAAATTCCGTGTCCAGCAGCAGTTCTAATGACCATTCAAACATAGACGACAGAGACTCATTGCCCAAATCAACTAGCCAATGGGATATGCTCTGTTTGGAGAAATTAGGAATTTCCTACAGCAACGAATATCATGCCTCACCATTAGATATATTAGATATGATTAATTCTAAAACAGGTTGCTTCGAGTCATTAAGAGGCGAACAGACAGAATATATTGGTGATTTAAAGGAAACCCTGGGTTTTGATATTTCACTGAAAGAGAGTTCAGAGAACGAACAAACACCTGAACTGTTTGCCCTTACAGATTTTGTTTTACCAAAGTTAGAAGAAGGGCTTTTAAAAATACGCCAACATTATTCATCAAGGTTTGTAATAGCCTAAATAACAATATTTTGTTCTGGATCCAAACATGTGAACCTCCTTACGGGAGTACAATAATCCCTTTTTCAGTTTACAGTGTATAAAAAAAATTTCATACACCACTTTTAACTACGCTGTTTACAAATATTTATTATTGAAGATGTAAAAACCCTAGTGAATCTATCTGATTACGCAACATATGTAGATTTTGACCCTAACCTGAGGCTTAAACTAATAAATGACAAAAGTTTGATTGAACAATCAACAGGTGATAGGATATTAATTACTTGATACATGCATGACATGTATGACTTCTGTTTAGGAAGATTAAAGGTAAATACCAGCATTGGTAGAAAAGTGAAATGTTGTAGTCAAAACATCAATCATCAGGTTTTATGCAGAAAAAATCATTGAATAAACTTTCAACTTAATAGACATGATAGAAAGAAATGCTCACTATTTCACACTCCAATGCGGACATTAAAGGACCTTCGGCAACAGCATGCTCAAGAAGATCCAAACTGATAAAAGAAAAATTTGACTCAAATTGATTTTCCAGGCCTTGTGTCAAAGATCAAGGTCACAATGGCTCTAAATAGACTGATGTTTGGTATAAATTGAGGTTTCCATGCACTTACTCAAACATCTTGCATTACATTGAAAGCAAACATGGTTACAAAGGTATATGGTAGACATTTAGGGGGCAAAACTGTAGTGATTTTTAGATCACTTGGTAAAAGGTCAAGGTCACAGTGGGTTAAAATAGATTTAGAAATTTTAAATTATTGGGATTTCTTTGCATTAACTAATTGATTCAAACATGATATCACTTCTAATTGACACCAAACTTGGATACAAATGTATTCGGTTAACAACAGTAAGCAGTAAAGGGAAGAATTGTATTAATTTCGGGGTCAAGGTCACAGAAGCTATATATATATTGCTGGTTTTAATGCATTGTTTTGAACAATTCACATCCATTAAATATAACCAGGGTAAATGGTAGCACAGGAGAAGTGTATTACATGATTGTTGGGTCAAAGACAAAGGTCAATATCATAGTAGCTTCTGTAGTTTTTGTACACTTATTGAAACATCTCCCATCCAAAAAAAGAGTTGCATACATGGTAAATATGAGTGAGGGAAATTAAATGAAAGTATATTAGTTAATGGTTTTGAAGGTTAAACAAGTGTGGATGATGTAAAGCTTTCTATGGTATGAATAAGCATGCATTATAATTCTGAATTTTAAACAAACCATTTTAATGAAATGTTCAACATCTGACTGGTAGAGAAATTTTCTAAAGTGCAATAGATTGGCCCCATATATATATCAGTGAAGTAATTTTCTGTTCTTTATTTTTGCAGAAAAAGGATGATGAGTATCCAAGAAGAATTTGTTAAAGTTGTTGCTCAGATTTTGAGATATGAACTGGGACGATACAAATCTGTAAAAAGGATGTGTCCTGCAACAGAAGATTTATATGTTACAGTTTTTAACATTTTTTCTAGAATGTGTGGTGTGGAAACAATGTAAGTCTCATATTAATCAGGGCATTAAATTTTTAGCTAACTGTATACCAAAAAAAAAATGCATCTGTCAACATCGTCTGTGGTAAACTTTCCATTTAAAAGTCTTCTCCATCTATCCTTTGAAGGCACTGAACCATTGTAAACCAATGCTGTTTTGATCGTCCACATCAAAGTGTAGTTTTTTGGTGATAATAAGAAAAAAGAATGCTGTTTGAAAATTGCATTTTCCTGTAGTGTTTCTGCTTCACTTAAAAAATAAAAGTACTGCAGAGGCCTGAAAATTAATTAATAAAGTTGGGTTTTTTTATACGACCACAAAATTTTTGCATTCGTATTATATTATGACAATGTCTGCGTCTTCGTCTGAAGACATTTGTCATCCGAAGACATTTTGGTTTGCAGACAATAACTTAAGTATAAGTGTATGGATCTCTTATGAAATATTAGCACAAGGTTCCATTCCACAATAGGAAGGTTGGGATTGATTTAGAGGGTTATTGTCGTAGTTTAGGAATTAGGGGCCAAAAACAAGCATTTTTCTTGTCGTCCAAAGACATTTTGGTTCGAAGACAATAACTTGAGTATAAGTGTATGGATCTCTATGAAATTTTAGCACAATGTTCCATACCACAATAGGAAGGTTGGAATTGATTTAGGGGGTTATTGTGGTAGCTGTTTGATAATTAGGGGCCAAAATCATGCATTTTTCTTGTTTCAGGACAATAACTTGTGTATGCATGTAAGTGTATGGATCTCTATGAAATTTCACCACAAGGTTCCATAATTCAAAAGGAAAGTTGGGATTGATTTGGTGGTCATGGATTTTCTGGTTTCTAAGCATGTATTTAGATATTGGATATTGGACCATAATAGGTCCAATTTCAAATTTTTCAGTTCTTTGACCACATTCATTCTGTTTCAAAAACCTACGATGTTTCAAATATTTAATTACAATCCAAATTGAATTAATTCAGAGCTGTATCAAGCTTGAATGAAGTGTCCATACTTGCATCCACTGTTCATGGTTCTACCTCTGTTGTCATATCAAGCTGCACCCCACAGAGCATTTTATTTCATTCTAAATAGTTCAAGACAAAAAAGTATAAATCATTTTGTTGTTTGTGCAAAATTTTTATCGGACAGGTGAATTGAACTTTCGTAAAGGTAAGATAATGCCATCTTCACTAGCCAAGGGTTATGACCCATTCCCTTTCTCCCCACCCTTGGCGGATTAAGATAGAATTTTTGGATCCACGAGGTAAGGATTTCCATTGGTCGCAGTTGTAACTGGCTGCATCCAATCAAAAAGCACCTTTAAGATGATTACGTGTAATGTAGAAAATGTAAATAAACAATTGCCACGTGCTGATTGCGCAACAAATCTTTACCCCACAAAACATAGGACGATATTTAGTGACAATTCTAAAGTTCTTAATCAAGTTCTTAATCAACTAAAGAAGTTCCTGGGTATGTTTCTCGTGGAAATGTTGGAAATGTCAATGTACATTTTTTGTTCCTGTTTCACGAAATTTGTAAACACTAGACACAACAATATTTACACCTCCAAACTGAAGAGAGTTCAAGTGCTTTCATAGGTCAAAAATGATGTAGTTGGAATGGGCGTGACTTTTATCTACCAGTAGATGGCGCAGCATTGTATTCATAAATGTTGGCTTAATCTGCCAAGGTTGGAGAGGAGGGGACTGGATCGTAACCCTTGTCTAGCGAAGATGGATAATGCTAAATGCATGTAAATGATAATTTCTATCTGAATTATCAAATTATGTTATAATTGAATAAAGTAAGGGATTTCTACACTGTTTTGAAAAATATTTCACACAAAATACAATAATAAAAGTAAAAACTGCTTCGATAGTTTGTTTTACAGTTATGCAAATATTAATTTTTTGTACTGTTCTGAAACCATAAATTTTGTATGGTACATAGGTATATCATTTTACATTTTCTAAAAGTGTTTATCAATTGAAATGTTGCAGCTAAATAGCTGTTAGCTATTAAAGCTGATTGATAAATACATCATTTACGGTAATTCAGTTTGATATAAAAATACATATTTTCGCCATAAAATTTGTTTACTACTTTATGTCACATTTTTTTATTTTCAGAAGATGCGATTTTATATCTTATTATTGTCTCGCCTTGACAGAGTCTCGCCTTGACAGAGTCAAAAAGTGAGACATAGGTATGCTGTTTCTGGCATTGGTGCTGGCAGAGTCAACAATGTATTAATTTGTGATTAGGTCAGTTTATGGTAGGTCAATGATATTTAGTATGCAGTTGTATTAGCATTGGCACATTTCATTTCCATGGAGATTGTTTGGCCCACCCCTCAGTCATGGTCTATTGACTTTGCAACTTTTGATTAGTTTTCATGTATTAGTTTTTGTGATTAGGTCAATAGTTTATGGGGAACCACTAGTGGTAGGTCAATGATATTTGGTAGGTAGTTGTATTTGCATTGGCACATCTCATTTCCATGGAGATTGGTTGTCCTGTTCCTTCAGTCATGATTCATTGACTTTGAATATTTTGCATAACTTACATGCATTGACATGTTAAAGAATTGCTATTTTAATTTCAACATTTGCATTTTATAATCAAAATGAAAAAAAAAAGGAGAGACATATCTCAGTGTTAACAGTTTATTTAATTTTAAGAAATATTTGTGCAAACAAGCTTGCTTATTACATTAAAGTATTTCCGTATTAGTTAAAAAAAGTATTTTTTAGAAAATATGATAAAGGACTTAAGATTTATACTTGGTCGAAATTTGGAGATAGAGCACTTGAACACCAAGTTCAATTTGAAACTTTATTAAGTAAAGAGATAGAACAGAAACAGCCTTTTTTGCAGAATTTAAATTGTAATAGTCATGTTAGTACCATTTTCGCACTGACTAATCTATATTATCAAAGCTTTAAACCATCATTTCAGTATAAGAGGTAGGGTTAAAATCAAGGAATTTATTTATAGGCTAAAATTAAAATTTCTTTTAGACCAGGATCATTGTGGAGGACTAGAATGGAAGTAGGTAGTACAGATGTTACATCAACGGCAGATATCTTGATAGTTCCAGTAGAATGTCTGGACAGTTTCCGTAAAGACTATCCAGTTGCAGATTCAGTTGCTGTTGTTTCAGTTGTAGAGGTAGATATTTGTTACTGTACCAGACACTACTTTACCTTTTGAATTGAAACTTGTCATAAATGACTTTAGGTCAATTTTATGAATTGATTTTACATGTGATTTTTCACTTCCAGGGAGCGTGTGCAGCATGAACTTCTAGATATTATCCTCTGTGGATTCATTAGGGAGCAACCATTTAACTTCAAACGGGGGTTATAGTTTTTTGTCTGAGTCAGAACATTTTTTTAAAAGTTTTTTGATGCTATCAATCAAATTATTTTGTTCAAAATTTAACACTATAAGGTATGGGGAAAATCTGGATTCAGAATTTTTTTTTTTTTTTTTCATCTGCTTGACCACAAATTGGGGATCAGAATATTTTTTATTTGTGAGATACCAATGTTTGTGGATTTCATGGGTATAGGTGAACCATGAATTTAAATGGCTTGTATGCAAACTCTTTTGAACCACAAATTGTATTATCCTCAAAAATACAATTTTTCCTTGATCCAAGAAAATTGGTACCCACGAAAAATAAATGAATCCACCATATCTTTTGTCCCGGTTTGTCTGATGGGATAGTGCCTATTGCTACATATCCTCATATATATATTTACCATATCCTTTCATATCCATATAGATTTGAAAAAGGAGAATATTAGATTTTACATACACCAGTGACTCTCAACTGACACAACAGTCTTGTCATACATGGGTATATATGTATAGAAGTCTATAAAAAGGACCAACCAACACATTTGATATGTACTGGATTGTCTAAAATAGAGGATACTGCGCAGATAAGGAAAAAATATAAAAGTCTAAAGATTTGCGCAATTGTTCTAATATAAATGGTAATATACGAAGATGATGTTATAAAATCGTGTTGATTCAACAAATATTTCGGCTGTACAAATAGACTTCGACAGTGTCAATAATTTTAACAATATATATATATTTATATATAAAATATGGAAAAGATTACCTTATTTTCAAAGAACCCAAGAAAATGAAGAAAAAAAATATTTATCACTACTTTAAATACCCACTCCAAAAACTTCCAGTTGCCAGAGGGAAAACAAATGTATTTTTTGATATAGGCCTTACTGTCAAAGTCTGCTCCATAAAGTGAAAGTATCTTGGTAACATGTTTAATAACACTTAAATTGAGTAATTGGCAATTTTTTTTTTAAATTGTCTGTCAAATATAAATGATATAGGTTAAACGTTTACTTGCCTGTAATTATGAGATAACTGGACAGTATTTCAAGCTTTGAGGAGACAAATTGTAGGTTACTGTCACAAATTAGGTTCACTTAGTACTGTATACTACAACTAGATAACTTAAGACTTGCAACAGAAAAATCAAGAATTTATATAAAAACAGTTGACAATTTGGCAATTTATCCACACAGTATTATATATATACACATGTCATGTGATTTCTTAAATTAAAAACGAAAAAATGAAACAATATTTGGGGCTTTTTGTATACTTAAACTTCAATGAAAAGAATGTTGTTGTTAATAATTTCATGTTATATAAATAAAGAGATGTGGTATGGTTGCCAATCAAACAACTTATCCACCAGATCTAGAGTTCAAATGATGTGAATGTATGCAATTATACGTCTCTGTAATGCCTTTAACAACATTGAACAATGAGAAAAAAATATATATCATATACACAACGTAACAGAAGCCCTGATATGAAAAATATGAAACAATTCAAATTTATAACAATTAAATTTACGAAGAACAAAAATGACAGATATGAACCAATGACAACCGCTGATTTACAGGCTTCTGACTTTGGACAGGCACATCAAGTATGTGTCTCTTTAAGTAAATGCCTTGAAATGAGATAATTGTTTATGATAGCAAGTCAAATTTTATCAGTACAAACAAGTTGCATTTGAATGTTATCGTACATGTTACATTGACAGGTACAACCTCAAAATTTTCTCGTAATTTTTAAAGGGAAAGAGATTTTCATCTAGGCCAGAGGAACAATCAGTTACTCAGAATAGCATATATGATTACGTTGACCATAAAACTCTAGGACAGCATGGAGGTAAACTACTGTTACATCTACAGAACTATAACAACAAACTTACAAGAGGAAGACGTTTACTTCCAGGAATAATAGTCATGGGAACAGAGGTAAATAAAAAATCAAGTTTACTTTACTCAATTCCACTACCGCCCTGTAATACAAGTATCAAACAAAGACGAAATAAAGAAAAGGGTTTGTATTGTCCTGGTTTCATACAGATACAATGAATTTGGCTGTTAATGGGACCACTGATAGATTAAAGACCAAACAGCCTATTGTTGATGCGCATCAACTAACGCAACTTGGTAGTGACATAAAAGCTCTATGACGTTGTTTCTAGCCATGACAAAAAACGTCAAATCATAACGTCCTATTTCGCGTTTTTCACAGATTCCAACATAGTGTACGCTTAAAACTACGTCTTCCAAGAAAAGTGGAATTAAGCGTCACACTGATACCTAGTGGAAATTAAACACAAATGGACACAAAAGATACTACACTATCTGTAACCTCCGTTCTAATAAAAATAATAATAAAAATATAAATTTTGAACTCGGCTTTGTGCATTTGCCCCAATCTGCATTTCACTTTTTTTCCTTCACTTGCGCCGAATTTGTCTTTCATTTGCACCGATTGTGTACAGGTAAATTATAGGTGAAAGTTATTTTTTTATTTATCATATAAACCTCTTCCGTTAGCCAGTTGTACATATGTTATGAATTGTCAATTATAACATGTATATAACTGTTGTCCCCTGCTCACAAAGGGGAGGTGGGAGTAGAATTTCGAGCAAGATAGGTCAATTTAAAAGATATTTGTGCTCTCTGTTTACATCCACTAAAATCACGGAGTAAAATTCTATTTACAGCATTTCAAAGCACCACAATAAAATCCATAAAAATGTAATACTAGTACAAATGAATTATTATCTTGCCGAGAATTTATATGCCACACATCTGATATATTCCTTTCTTGTCATTTTATCTTTTCTATACTTGTTGTACTTGCCAATAACGAAGTCCATCTTTTCTTTCTCGTGTCAAAACGAAGTTCTCGAACAATATGACCAAAATTATCTTAAACATAAGGGAACACTATTTATATCCATATATTACCATGCAATATACATTCTAGGTTTACTACATGTACATGTATTTACTCGTATAGCAAATAAAGTATCGGGGCTAGTGATAAAAAAATTAAATAGGCGCTAATGAAAGAATCAAATCGGCGCAAATTAAAGATCGAAAATTTTTTTAAATCGGCGCAAATCTCGTACGCCCGTGTAACTTTACACTGGTAAATTTATATGACTTATGCTTAGAGTTTTAACTTAATATGTGATTTTCAAAACTGAGTTTTCAGAAGGTTAGTCCGATAAACAATACTTTCTAGAAGTTTCGATATACTGGCAACGTATGCATGTTGAGATCAACTTACTTCTTTAAGATTCTCGTAAAATAATGGTGATCTTGCAATGAAGTTAAATTTTATCTATACTGCTTAATTGACAAAATCTTATAGTAAAAATAAAAATGATAAAGGTTCATTGTCTTTTGTCATTTGTTTCATTTCAAATTGTCTCAAGGGGAAGTGATAAAGATTTCGCCTGATCTCACAGAAGCTTAAGGCAAAAAATATAAGAAATAAATATATACTCAGTGAATGTGAATCAAATTTAACTTATGACAAAAAACAATTGCTTCAAGAATAAAATCCAACATAAAATTTCTCACTTTCAAAAAACTACAATGACCGGAAAGATTGAAAACAAATTTCGATTTTCAATGACGGCAATCTATACATACAACCTTGTCGTTGTTTTAATTTCCAAAATGAGCTATTTAGATTCATAATATTTCATCCTGTTTTGAGAAATACTTTATAGTTTTCAACGGAAAATTATTTCTTAGATTCTAAACCAATTTTTGAATTAAAAACTTATTTGTATTTTATATTTACTGTCTCGTTTATTCAAAACACGTGAGGTAGTAATAACGGGGATCGTATTTTATGATAGGTTAAATGGATGTAAAACGTTTTAGAATCAAAAACTTTAATTCATATATTATACCTATAATTTTAATTTTCTTATATTTTAAATATTCAGAAATAATGAATCCACAAACTAGATGGAATAATTTGTATACGCTCGTCTTAGTTGGGACACATAATGGTATAAAGAAGTCCGTCCGTGCTAATGTTTGTCCGTCTGTCAACAGTAGCGAAAGAGTGTGCTAGGGCGAAGTTCTGAAATTGACGTGACAAAAAACCCACACATCTAGTCTAATATAGTCAAATAGTCTGTAAGTAAGCCAGTGTCATCTTTCATTTCTCTTTTTATTTCCAATGATTTTGCTAATGAGAGGGAGAGGACAAAAATAGATCTAGACTTTCCTTTCTAAAGCGTCGTAAAAGGTTATTTCGAACAATTTTTCATTCCGACGGATGATTTGTCTGAAGGTTAATTTTGTGCGGCAACAACATCATGAGATCTGATACTGATACATACATATGATCTCTTGTATTACCGGATAATAAAGTAGGTGAATATAGTTGTTATTCTTGATTCTTGAAAATTTAAATGTGGGTTTCAAACGTCCAATTTGCAATTTTTTTCAAACAGTACGCCAGCAATGAAAACTTGTACTATGACGTCAGATTCAATGTTCTGAAGAAAGACAACTCTTTTCTTCAAAACGAACGAGAAAAAAACATGAAAATTCATCATAACTTTTTTGAAAGGTCGGTGACATATACATTTTTTTGCTTTATTTTGAAGAGTACACATGGCACTTTCCTTCTTGAAATTTTATGAAAAAATCACTGGTAGATATTTTTTAATACTTGAAACGTTTTTCATTCTTGCGTTTTATTTTTGGCGGGAATGAAATAAATCATATTTTTTAAGATCAAAACAATAAGAGTCTTAAACTCTTGAACTTGTATTTGATAGACACAAATCTACTGTTTAACGTGAAACAAGAATTATGCTTGTAGGTTTGATATAATGGGATTTTTTGAGAGTTTAAATAACAAGCAAATATCATGTTAATATTCGGGAAAACACGAAACTGAGGTTGCTATAGTGACAAAACTAAGTCGGTGACCCCCAATTTTTTTTATCATATTTTGTTCCTCAAATCATGAAATACCTTCACACAAAATTTTAAGGAAAAATCACTGGTAGAACTGAATAGGCTGTTTGGTCTTTAACAGTGGGAAACTGTTAAACACAATAGAAAACCTGTACAGATTGCTATATAGGCAATTTCATTAATAAAAATTATGCATCTTCTTTTTTATTTCAGTATTTTGTGATAAGTGTACAACAAGAAATCTGTAATTGATAAAACAGTAAGAATCTGATACCTTTCTGACTTCTTTTATGCCATGGCAAATACAGTATAAAACCCTCAAGTTAAGATTTTTGAAAGTTGAATTTTGCATACATGGATAGGTGAATAAAATTGTTTAACTTTGTTTAAATTTTTCTTTCATGAATATTACCATGAAAGAACAGGATTGTGAGGAACCATTACCTGTATAATCTTTTCTTTTAATATCTCCAGTAATAAGCATTGGTCAAACTGCATACTAAACCAAAATTGAAATTTTCAAATATAAAAAATATTGAAAATTGTATCAATTAAAATTATCTATTTTAAAAGTGCTTGAAAACTTCAGTTGAATTTATGTTGGATAATCAGTCTTACTTTCAATATATAGAAATATGGCACAGCATCAGGTAAACTGACACTATGCTGTCTGTACTGTGTTTGTTTTGCTTTCCCATCATAAAGTATTTTCATTTACATACGTGTATGTGCTTTGTTTTCCTGCTAAAGGTGTTGCTTCTCTTCAGGCATTCCAGCTTCCTCCGCCATTAAAAACTGGTCACCTTGATATAGCCAAGAGTGCTTAAGTGGCATAAAACACCAGCAATAAATCAGTCGTATATGTCTTTTTCTTTCAGGTGATATTTACAGTATTGGAAATCGATCCTAAACACCTTTCACAAGTTTATTCAGAGGATCCAGTTGATTCAAGAGCAAAAATATATTATTCAAAACCAAAGGATTTCCTGAAAAAGGCTGACAGAGACCTATTAATGGAAGCAATAATGAGACTAAACAACTTTAAGTAGATTCTTCATGTACAAGGGTTGTCAGTGAAGTTAGGTAATTTTGGTACATGATAGTACCGAAATTAGATGAAATGCCATTTCATTGGCAAATGTTTTATCTTTATATTTCTTATTTAAAAACACAGAAATAAGAATATCTGATACTGTGATAAAAAATAAGCTCATAGTGTCACACCCTTAAAGCTTGTGACCTGAGAGTGTTTGGAAATCCAACAGTGAATCTCATAAAAAAAGGACTTTTTCCTAGGATGTGGAACAGGGAGCAGTGATAAAATGAATATATTCTTGAGGAAAACCCTAACATGAATAGGTTGATCCAGAAGTATTGATAAAATTATGTATTCTTTGTAAAACTCCTACAGAGACAAATGAGTTTTAATGCGGTCAGAAATACAGTCAAAAGTAAACTGCTCTTAAGGATGTTCTGTTTCAAAATAACAAGCTTTTTAAAAGACTTTTTTTAAATGATAGTGTATAAATAAAGGAACTAAAAAAGAAGAAAAAAATTAGGGGTCTGTGTGCATGTTTTCAAGATATAAGCCATTGAAAATTTGGTGGGAAAAACATCTCTCTAGATTTTTCATACTTTTAACATTGGCCGCTTTTTTGTTTCAAAAACTATGAAAGAATAACAAGGATTTCATCAGATTTTCAAATCTGGCTTTTTAAACTATATGTAATAGAATTATGAAAAAAAAAAGTAGGGGTTAGTGGGCAAATTTTTTTAATGGCAATAAATGAATAAAATCAGAGGATTCCGAAAATCTGGCAAAAATTCAAAAACAAGAGGAGCGAACATCCTTAAGTTTACTAGCTGTAGTATAGGTTTGTGAAGGAATTTTTGACTTAGAGATGAAAAATGCCAAGATTTATTATTGTGCATCATTGACTTTGAAAAACGAAGTGGGTGACACATAAAGTTTGAGTACAAGATTAACATATGAATCTTATTTGCATTTATCAGGTGCCATGGTTGCTGATGGGCTAAAGTATGAAAGAAACCATTTGAAGATTTGTCATCTTGAACATTAAATATTATGAGGGTTTCTTTACTGGTTATTTCTGTTAAAAATAAGTAATATTTCAGATTTCTAAAGATTTTAACTTTACCAAGTTTTGCATATAGATTTACAAAGTATACTTTATATACATGTATGGTTTGGTGGATGGGACATTGGTATTATCTCAAGTGATTGTGGAAGCTGTTTCTTTGTACCAATGTAGCTGCCCTGTTACACACTTTAAATGTTGCATTTTTTGGTAATATGTATGCTTTGAACATAAAAATTGTTTGGTATTTCTAAAGAATTCATTTGCATTTTTCTTCAGAAACATTGTTGAAAACTCCAAATATTTTCTTTAAAATCAACCTTTTATTATAACTATTTAAAGGGCACTAGCTGCCAAATTAATGTTCACCGATTTGACTAAAATTCTCATATTTGATTTTTAACACACTAAAACCTATATATTCAAATTATAAAAAGTATAAAATAAACAATTAACAATGCATGGACTAGATAATAGGTATAGCATTTCGTGTGAATTATAGTCTAGTCACAAATTAAATTTCCACCAAGATGACCTCCGAAGACTGCAGATGGTCATATAACCAGACATAAATATGTAGGACTCTAAAATGCGATGGTACTCTAAAGTGCGATGGTCATGCTAAAGTGCGATGGTCTACGCTAAAGTGGGATGGTGTCAGACGCTAAAGTGCGATGGTTGTTTGTTTTTTTAAAATGTGATCAGATGACACGCTAAAGTGCGATGGTATATGACACGCAAAAGTGAGTTGGTTTAACACGCTAAAGTGTGACGGTGTAACGGGAATGGGGTTCAGGCAATGTTTTTTTTTTTTTTTTTGCTGTGTTCATATTAGTTTTTCGTCTATTGTATTGTTTATTGTGTTGTATATAAATCAGTCTGTTATTTTTACCATATTGTAAAAAATGTTTTATAAAATAATTCAATTAGAAAGTAAAAAAGTAGCTTTTATATCACGCAAGTAAATAACATGGGACTAAAAACTAAAAGGAGTTTCTCAATTAAATTTGGACGAATTAAATACTTTGACACTTTTTTGCCGTTTTCGCTCTCTTTTACAGTATACACCTTCCCCTTACTATCGTCAGTTTCTATGTTTATGAGAAGTTTTTTTTCCAGTATCCTGACAGAAACACGTTTGTCCCCGCCGACACAGCGGGATCAAAGGTTTGCATATCTGTTACTGTGGAATTTTTGGGGAAATAACTCCTCCGGATACATACTCTTCCAGCAAGGACCAAAAATGTTTCGAATTGGGATCATTTGTTTCTCTTTTCTTGTCTAGGAAATAACCTTCATCTGCACAAACATTCTTGTTTACCAGCATGTCCTTTTTTGTTTGTACACACGGCGTGTAAGCGTCATAATGCTATTTGACGTTGCAAACGTCCATACTTTCGCGAACAAACGCACTTTCGAGTAAAAACGCACTTTAGCGTATCGCGGCATCGGACTTAAGAATGTTTGATTAAATTGCACAGACCATCGCACTGTAGCGTATCAAACCATCACACTTTAGTGAAGGCCATCGCACTTTAGAGTCCTATATATATATTAATATAAACAGATAGCAAGCACATGCAATTGGATTTTTCTAGGTCTGTTTGATATTCATATTATGAGTTAAAAAAATATGTTAATCATTGTTTTTACCTGTATGAGAAGGATTTTTATGGATTAGTCAACCAAATGGTTCACTCATGTTTCACTTATGTTTCACTTTCAATGTTGACATTCTTTTCCTTTTAATAGCTGAACATGCCAAGTACATGTGTAACACATCTCTTAAATTCTCCCTTATTAATTCATCTGAATTCAAAACATTTCTAATCTCTAATCTATCTACATGGCTAAATAGGAGGCAAGTCAAAAAGTAGATATGGTTAGCTTGCAGTAATTTATTATTTTCATTTTTTTTTTTTATAAAGATAACAAAACATAACAAACATCTCCAAACAAACACACATCTAGCTATTCTGTACTAAATCAATGAATAATATTCTATGCAGAACATGTTGTACTTAGTAGTTACTGTGATACATACTATACAAATATCAGACTTATATATGACTATATGACTATAGAACCCCACCCGTAATAGTGCCAAAGAAATATCCATGCAGTACTAACACAAACATGACAAAGAATTATAATTAAACACTAATCAAACTAGTTTTACAAACTAGTCCACTGTTTCTAAAGATGGAAATTAAAAAAGGAAAATCCAAATATTACGAATAGAAATTAATTAACTAAGGGGTTAAATTGAAACTCAAATGAATACAGATTCAATGAGGTTGAATTATTGACTTGCAAGTAAATAATGCATCAGATGTTTTTGAGCTTATTTTGACAAATTTGGGCAAAACGGACTGCTAATATGAAATATTATTTAAAATTTCTGATTTTATTAATACTTGAAACAAAAAGAATTGATTTAATTTTTTGTCTAAATTGTAGCTTATGCCCCTTTAAAATTTCATGAAGTTTGTATTTTTCAGTGTTCTGCATGTTCTGTTAGAATTACAATGTATCAATATAATTCCTAAAGAGAAAGGAATTAGGTGTATGAAATTAAAATATATAGACATATCAGTCAATTCTTTTGGATTTTGGCAAAATTTAATTTATGGTGCTTTCTGATTTTACCAAATAAGTCCTCCTTCTTGCATTCAGATGATTTAAAAAAAAATGTAAAGAAAAAATAGTTGGTAGGCTTTTATTTTAGGCAGTGGCTATTTTGCAAGCTCTAGGTAAGTGGAGGCCTATTTTGACAGTAAAAAAACGATTTTGTTTACAGATATGCAATTTAAAGAACTGATTCTTATTTCAAAAGCAGATGTGATTTAAACATTTTTGACTTTGAAGCTATGTGCAAGATTGATTTTGTTATATTGTATAATGTTTTATCAAATTTATATGCAATGAGATTTTTTACTTTTATTTTTTTTTTGTCGAGCCTGCGACTTTTGTCGCAGAGAGCTCGACATAGGGATAGTGATCCGGCGGCGGCGTTAGCTTACTTCTTAAAAGCTTTATATTTTAGAAGGTGGAAGATCTGGATGCTTCATACTTTGTATATGGATGCCATAGGCCATCGCACTTTAGCGTGACCATCGCGTTTTTGCGTCCCCATCGCACTTTAGAGTCCTACATATATAAATATTAATATAAACAGATAGCAAGCACATGCAATTGGATTTTTCTAGGTCTGTTTTATATTCATATTATGAGTTAAAAAAATATGTTAATCATTGTTTTTACCTGTATGAGAAGGATTTTTATGGATTAGTCAACCAAATGGTTCACTCATGTTTCCTTATGTTTCACTTTCAGTGTTGACATTCTTTTCCTTTTAATAGCTGAACATGCCAAGTACATGTGTAACACATCTTAAATTCTCCCTTATAAATTCATCTGAATTCAAAACATTTCTAATCTCTAATCTATCTACATGGCTAAATAGGAGGCAAGTCAAAAAGTAGATATGGTTAGCTTGCAGCAATTTATTATTTTTTTTTTTTTTTATAAAGATAACAAAACATAACAAACATCTCCAAACAAACACACATCTAGCTATTCTGTACTAAATCAATGAATAATATTCTATGCAGAACTTGTTGTACTTAGTAGTTACTGTGATACATACTATACAAATATCAGACTTATATATGACTATATGACTATAGAACCCCACCCGTAATAGTGCCAAAGAAATATCCATGCAGTACTAACACAAACATGACAAAGAATTATAATTAAACACTAATCAAACTAGTTTTACAAACTAGTCCACTGTTTCTAAAGATGGAAATTAAAAAAGGAAAATCCAAATATATGAATAGAAATTAATTAACTAAGGGGTCTAGCATGGTTCATCTGACCTTGACCTCATTTTCATGGTTCATTGGTCAATGTTTAGTTTACTTGGTTAATGTTAAGTTTATGTGACAGTTGTAATAAAGCTTTATATTTAGGACTATCAACATAATATCAATGATTAGTAAAGAAGGCGAGACATTTTAGCGTGTGCATTCTTGTTTACAACTTATTGGCAAAAAATATGAGATTTGTTCTTATGCAAACATGTAGCATTAGATTGTGACTGATTTTAGGTGTTATTTCAACATGAACTACATGTTTGGATATGATTTCATTGCTACAATTGGATGCTCAATATTTTTATTTTTATTTTCTAAAGCTGTTTTCTTATTTCTTTATACATATTCTTCTGTTCACTTTGACTGATAAATGTTTTTAAACGATTATATCTGGAACTATTATACTAGTATAATAGTCTCAGATTATACTTTTACTTTTATCTTATTTAACTACACGAGTAATAATTTGACTCTTTTATGTTGACAATGCACATTTTCGTAGTCCTTTTCAGAAGTAAATGTTAAAATTCACTCTTTATAAAGAACCAGCAAAATAACAAATTCAGTATATTGCTGGAGCTGTCAAAATAGCCACTGCCTTAATTTTAAGCTCACCTGGCTCGATGGGTTACATAGGAGCTATTCCCATCACTTGACATCTGTCATCTTTGTCCTTTTTTTTTAAATCTTAATCTGAAACCAGAGATTAATTTCAACCAAACATTGGCTAAATAACTCTTAGGATATCTTGTCACAAGCTAGTAAATAGATTGTGTTTTTGTTCCTGCTAATCAACCAACATGGCTGCCAATGGCTTACTATAAATCATAAAGGTAAAATGCATTAATTGTGCATCTTGAAATCAAAATAGATAGAGAAAATGTGACAAGGCAAAAATGCTCAATGACATGATGTACCTTTTCTTTTTCCACCAAAATTATCAGATTACGCAACTCCTTAAGGTGTGTGTTCCCTTTAAAGAGGGTTTCTGTCAAATTTATCAGAGTTTTGCTTATTATCTTTTAAACTACAGTAGATAAGTAGAAACTGTTAACATCAAAACTGATCAGCAACTATTCTTAGATGATCCAAACCAATTACTCTTTATAGGCGTTATTGCCATTAAATAGTTATTGACAAATTTTTGTCTTTTTTGCCTATGATTTTAAAAACTACAATAGAATAGTAAAAATTGTAAACATCATAAATGACCAGTAATGCAAAATATTCAAAAATGGCAATATCATAAAGTTTTTGGATGATTCATTATAGGAGTTCTTGCCCTGAAATGATGATTTTTAGACAATTTTTGTCTGGCCTTGACGGAGTCAAAAAGCAAGACATAGGTATGCTGTTTCCGGCTTTGGTGGTGGTCAACAATGTATTAGTTTGTGATTAGATTTAGTTTATGGTGAACCACTAGTGGTAGGTCAATGACATTTGGTATGCAGTTGTATTAGCATTGGCACATCTCATTTCCATGGAGATTATTTGGCCTAAAAGTCCATGTGAGATTTTGCCCATCACATGGTGTTTGTCGTTATAGTCTGTCCTTCGTCGTAAACTTAAAAAAAATTCTCCTCCTCTGAAACTAATGGGCCAAATGTTACCAAACATTACCTGAATATTCCATAGGGTTTCTAGTTTAAAATTGTTTCGGGAGGTAATTTGATCCATCAACAAACATGGCTGCTGTTTGTAAAAATAGAATATAGGGGTAAAATGCATTTTTTGTCAAGCCTGCGACTTTAGTCGCAGAAAGCAAGACATAGAGATAGTGATCCGACGACCTCATTCACCAACTTCTAAAAAAGATAATTATTTCAGAAGGTAGAAGACATGGATGCTTCATACTTTGTATATAGATGCCTTATGTTATGAAGTTTCCGTCTGTCATATGTTCATTGTCCTTGACCTCATTTTCAGGGTTCCTTGACTTCTTGAAAAAAATTTTAAGATATTT